GGAAAATAATGTGTTTTTTTAACCTTAAACCGCATAAACGCATTTCATTACACCAAATACACAAAATAATATTATTTTTAGCAACATCATATGACCCCTTTAAACCATGGCCACAAATTAAAAATTAGTTATCACAATTTATTAATTCACTCTCTTGTTTTAGTAAATTGTGGCCATGGTGTGCTAATTCTTTCCCTCATTTTGATTTAATTAAAACAAGGGATCAAATTAGTACAACGTTGCCATGATTAACTAAGGAGGTGTTTACACAACACCATTTTCAACTAAAAACAGAAAACTTTTTATGTTTTGGCGATTCATTTACATGACAACTGCGTTTTGGGGGCCTGCTAACAAACTTCTGAAAACATGTTTCAAAGTTTTTGAAAACGATTCGCGGTAATCTCTGTGTAAACTACAAAAATGCAAATTTGTGAAAATGGTGACGTCGTGTGCATGTGTATCATGTTTGTGTAGTGTTTCTTTACAAAGTGACATTCAAAATAATATTCTTTTTAGCAACATCATATGACCCCTTTAAATCATGGCCACAAATAAAAAATTAGTTATCACAATTTATTAATTCACTCTCTTGTTTTAGTAAATTGTGGCCATGGTGTGCTAATTCTTTCCCTCATTTTGATTTAATTAAAACAAGGGAACAAATTAGTACAACGTTGCCATGATTTACTAAGGAGGTGTTTAGACAACACCATTTTCAACTAAAAACAGAAAACTTTTTATGTTTTGGCGATTCATTTACATGACAACTGCGTTTTGGGGGCCTGCTAACAAACTTCTGAAAACATGTTTCAAAGTTTTTGAAAACGATTCGCGGTAATCTCTGTGTAAACTACAAAAATGCAAATTTGTGAAAATGGTGACGTCGTGTGCATGTGTATCATGTTTGTGTAGTGTTTCTTTACAAAGTGACATTGCCAACTACTGGTCTGGCATGCATAATACAGCGATTTTAAGTCGTTTTGGCGGATCCCGTGTGAAAGACGACTGTTTTGGCAACATTGTCTGTACGCAAAAAATGTAAAGGAAGAACTTTTCTGTTTTTAGTAGATCATTGTGGTGTAAACGTACCCTAAATCGAGTAACTAACTAAAATGAGGGAACAAAATAAGTTGCGGGAACATGATCTTATTTTGTGACCACGATATACAGTGCACAGCATAAATGATTACACCCCATCTGAATAAATATAAAAGATGTATTTTCTTAATGATCACTAATATAATTCATGGAAAGATGGCAACATTGAAATATATTACACATATACTTAATAAAAACAACAAAATATATGCCAATATTTTCTGTAAGATAAGTAAATTAGCCAATTTTGTTTAAATGAAGGATTGCAGAAATGAGTACACCCTAGATTTAATTCAGAACATTTGTAATATTCTAGTACTTAGTATGTCCTCCAGGACTTAAAGTATACTGCTCTGACCCTTCTTGGCACTGAGTGTACATTTTCACATCTGTCCTGTTTAACTCCTGGAGGACGACCTCCTTAAATGCCCTGGTCTTTAATGGGGAGTGTTGCTCAGCTCGTCTCTACAGAATCTCTCAGAGCTGCACAAAAGCGTTAAGATTGAATGAAATACATGTCCTCTGAAGGATTTTCACCTTGGGAGAATGAATATATTCATTGTCATGCTGAAAAAATACCCAATAATGCAGTGAATATGAGGGGAGGGTAGCATCTTCTGTTTTAAGTTTTTGTATTACATCACACAGTAGTGTGTGAATTCATGCCAGCATTGATAAAGCACAACTCCCTCACACCTTTATCACTCATTCATCCCTATAGAAGAGCTTTACTACCACTGAACGTCACTGTGGGTACCAAGTACTTCTCACTGTACTCCTCCTCTAGCAACACCAGAACATTTTGGATGCTGTTAGACCCGAAATGATTGACTTGGTCTCTTGAGACCAGAGTATGGATTCCCAGAAGTCTCTATTTTGTAAATATGGGCCCTGGAAGAGGTTAAATGAGTTTATTTTGCTTTGGCTACAGTAGGTAATTCTAGTGGTGACAACAACCATGCATGTCACTTCTGCAGGCTGCGTCATACTCTGTGAGATAAAGTGTCACTCTTTTCACAGCTTTTGCCGGCTCTGAGACACTTGAATGTTATTTCTCCTGCTCTTTTTCTAGCAAAAATTCACTCATCACTAAATTAAACCTTAAAGTGAAGACCTGATTATTTCAGGAGCCTTATCACAAGTCCATTGTTTTTGAATTTTGGTGCTACTTCTGCTATATTTTCACACTTAAAACAATAATTTGTTATTCCTCTTGTACCATTGTCCTCTTTTATGCTTAGAAATAAGTCACCTGGCAGTTCTCTCTCAAGTGGTTCCACTGCTGCCAGCATGAGTCTGAGTATGAGTCAGTGGGCTATATAACATTTTTAATTGTCAGGAAATTACTTGTCTTTAAAAGTTTTGGTTCAATATACTTACCTGTTGATCAAAAATAGCCTTAAACCTATACACTTTTTTTTTAGTAACTTTCAGGAGGGTGTACTCATTTTTGCAACACAACATTTTATCACTTTGATAAGAAAATCTTATTTTGCTGAATAATTTTGGCATTCTTTTTTGGTAATTGATCAAGCAGACTTGCTGGAATATTATATCTCTAAAAAACCATAACATGTCTTCTAAGTAAAGAGTAATTGCTGAATTTGTTACGTTTTAGAGGGGGTGTACTCATTTATGCTGTGCACTGTATATATTAGTGCTGTGAAACGATTAATCGCGATTAATCGCATCCAAAATAAAAGTTTTTGTTTACATAGTATATGTGTGTGCACTGTGTATATTTAAATGAAATGCACTGTGTATATTTATTATGTATATATAAATACACACACATGCATGTACATATTTAAGAAAATGTTTACGTTTATATATTAAATATATTTATATATAAATTATATTAATATAAATATATACATGAAAAATACATGTATATATATATATATATATATAACAGTATATACATAATAAATATACACAATACACACATATATTATGTAAACAAAAACTTTTATTTTGGATGTGATTTATCGCGATTAATCGTTTGACAGTTTTTTTCCCTCCTACATCTCATGTGCAGGGCTTCGTAGTAATTCTTTAAATATGCTCTAAGTATTTATTTTTTTATTTTTTTATATAGTTTTTATTACTTTTATACTTTGAATCAGTTTGCACATTCACAGGCCATCCCATACAGAAAAACGCAAGCTGTGAGCATACTAGTTAGCTGTTACCTTGGCTTGTGAGAGGCAATTTTACTAATGTTGCTTTAGATAGACATTACGTACTGTACATAAATAATCATTTGATACACATTATATGTATTTTACACAGCAAAAACAATTTATTTGACTAAAATTCCAGAATTGTTAGCTGACAATCTAGATGAATGTATTGTTTATATGGTTTTCTACGAATGGGACACTACATTTTATTCAAGCTAGCATTGACGAAATATTTTTCATACATTTTGGCTTTAATAAGATCTCGTAAACTCGGACTTATAATTACGGACTTATAGAAGTGGGAAGAAGGGAATTTCTGATATCACATGAAGCAGCATTATTTACTGGCTAAGTCTGGGGAAATTCCACAAGAGCTAACACCGCTAACTGCACTTTTAACCAAAGAAAATTAAGAAAAAGGTCATTTTCTTCTGGTTGTACATGCATGATATACCTCAATGTAATATTTAATAGGCAAAGGTGAACAAACTGTAGTTCCATTCATGTAAACTTATAAAACCACAGCAAAAGGCTACTTATAAATGCTCAGGCTGTTCTGAGTCCAAGCTTTCATGCAAGAAAATCATGCATCTTTTCATGCATTTTTTTAGATCCACCACACTCTCCAACACATTTCGTATCTACTTACCTCCTAAACAGTCATAGTACGGAATGTCTGGAAACCCAACATAAGAGGTAAGAATGGTTTAGGTTTGAGTTTGTTAGTCAAAATCTTTGTAAAACCCATAACCATTCAAATAACTAAAGGTGCAGCCACATTTACCGCTCCACAAAATCCAGGCATTTCAATAGTAATCCACATCGCATGAGGGCAAAAGATTTCCCCATGCAGATTGCACAACAAGTTCAAATTGGTGAAACCGATTTCGCTGCACCGAGGAACAGAATGCTGCTTGGTTCATACGCCGGCTACAACATTGACAACTTACAAAGGACCTTTGCTTGAGAAATTTCGCTAATGTGACCGCACTTAAATCTTTGGAGACACAGAAACACACGACCTTCATTCTTACTAGGTTTTGCAATAAGGCCTTTCGAAATAAGCTCTTGAGAGAAAGACAAACTGCATCTAAACAAACTACATTGGCACCCTGAATTACTACCTTCCTTAAATTCCTTAAATTAAATTCCTTGTTTCATTAACATAACAGTGTTGTTGGCACAGATTGCACACTACCTAATTTGCATGTATAATTAATTAGGTAAGTAAATCACTTGGGTATGTTTGTGCATCCCTTCTTTTCTTTTTCAAACCGAGGGGATTCAATATCTGCATACCTCAATGAAAACAATCTTTTACAACCCACTTCAACATGTTTAATTGACTTTACTATTTTTAAGTGCCAGCTCTTAATAATGCAGAGAACCACTTTAAAGAACGGTTCAAAGAGTCTCTGGAGATTTTAGGGATTGCTAGAGCAGGTTTGTTTGAACTCACCATGAACAGTGATCTCCGGCTCTCTGAAGCGAACCCGCCTCTCGGTTTTTCGCTTTCGCGATGAGTCTGACTCCACATTGCTCACATTGGACCTTTTCAGAATAGAGGTGGGCAGTTTTTCATTTATGACCTGAAATCAGAAAAGACAAAACTACTGACTTCCAGAATGTTTGATAGAGGCAATATGAAGTCATTTGACTGCAACAGTAGATTCCTATAAGACTTTTTGACATTAATACGCATTTCATCTGACAAGATTGTTAGCAATAAAATGTCATTTTAACTGAAAATGTTGAGTGAAAAACAATGTGATTTACACAAGTAAAGATGATGGCCCAAAAATATGTCCTGTAATATGTGAGTAAATCACATTAAGTTGTGGGTCAATGATGTGACAAATGTAATAATTTAGTAAAAAATACATTAAAAAATGCATTTCATACTGTAAATATGTAAATACAATGACAAGTACATAGCACAAAGTCAAACATTTCAGGATGATACAAATGTTCTGATATCAAAATGACGGAAAAATAAGAATCTGGTCATATTGGAAAATTTGGTCTATTTTATGACAAGGTAAGGTTACCCCAGGTTGCAAAATGTAATTTGGTGCTCCTAAAAAAAACCCTAATAATATTTCTCAATTATTAATTCATGATATTTAAAATATACGTTTTACTTAAAAAAAAATATACTGTAAAATATTTTGAAATTAATGTATGTGTATGTGTATATGGTGTCTTTACTTGACGGTTACACCAGATTATACTTTCATTAAATTTAATAATATAAACCCAACATAATTGCAAAAAGTATGGTTATGGCTAGTATGGCTTTATCATGGTGTTGGTGCCAAGTGACATTGGCTGCAGTATTACCTTTGTTTTTGGAGTTTCCTGTTGTATGCATGGCTTTTTTCTGTGTCGCAGCTCAGAGTGTCTCTCCTTATGGCTATGAGAAATGCTACTCAGAGCGTCACTGAATGACTCGGTGGCTGAGAACCTTTTGGAAAGAGTCGACACACACTCTCCCAATGAATCTGTAACATGAAACGCACTTCACAAACTGCAGAACAACATATTTGACATCACATCAGCAAAAAGCAACATGCATATTTGTTCCTAGTCGGAACAGTTTGCATGATGAAACTCGTTTAGCAGAAAATAATTTAGCATTGAAACTATGTCACAGTGCCACGAAGGTGATATGTTGTGGTGAAAGCATTTTCTCTCAGAAAGCTGACTCTGCAGCTGAGTTTGACGTTCATGACACATTGCTGCTCTATACAATACATTTTTCATCATCCAGGAAAAAGGCAATAGGGAAGATGCAGAACGACCCGTCCCTCCAGAAAACTAGCAAAGCATTTCTGCTTACAAAAATGCCCTGGCCTCAAACTGTCAAAGACACGACATGGCTTTTCTGCCTGAGATCTAAAACGCCATCAGCTGCAGACAGAAAGTGCATGCTTGAAATAAATGTTTACTCATTCAGGTGATTTAGCTCTGCAGGTTTTTTATCATTCAGAACTATGTACAGTAGACTTAGATGTAGTACAATTTCTTTGCTTCCTCACTAAGTGGAAGGAGTAAATGGCTCTATATGAATTACTTTCTGAAAAGGGCTTTCACTAGAAGCTGCTTCCAAGCTACGGTGGATATTTTGCTATGACAATCAGAAAACTTTACTTAGAATATGAAAGGCTGTTGGGTTGTATGGGCCTAGAGTGTACAGTAAATTGCAAAGTAGGTGTGTTTAAATAAGCTTTATACAGATTTACCAAATGGCAAATTACTGTGGTAACGTGGTTCTGTAAATAGCCACTATTGTCATAAGAAATATAATAGATTATAAATAAATGAAACTAAATTACATAAAGCTAATGCTTTAAAGGAATAGTTCAACTAAAAATGAACATTTGCTGAAAATGTACCATCCAATTTTTTCATCAGAAGAGATTTAGAGAAATTTGGTATTGTATTACTTACAGTAATACAGACGATACATTACGATGGCGCCGCAGACGGCAGCCGCAGTGTTTGGCTCTCCAGTGTTTGTACTGTTTTTGTTAGTTTTTCCTGTTTTTTGTTTCTCAAACACGATCAGTTTAACTAGGGATGAGCTGCTGAACATTCGGCAGAACACACCACACAATCTTCTACCGGATTTCGTTTATTCGGACGTTTTGCTGAACGTTGTACTTGGCGGAGCTGCTGCACTGATCAAACGCTTCAGGACGCGCAGACGAGGGAAGCGAGGTGGCGCGCTCGTGAAGCTCAGGAAGCGTGGATTCAGAACGCCGTTGCCGAGCATCCATATGGCGAATCTCCGCTCTCTACCCAACAAAACGGACAAACTTCTTCTGCTCTCCCAGACAAATAAGGATTTTTCACACTCTGCTGCTCTGTGTTTCACGGAAACCTGGCTGAATGACGCCATTCCGGACAGCGCG